TAGTCACTCAGGAGGCTGAGATCTGAGGATCACAGTTCAAAGCCAAGTAGAGCAGGAAAGTCTAAGAGACTCTGATCTCCAATTAACTGAACTACCAAAAAAGACAGAAGTGGAAATGTGACTCAAGTGGTAGAATAGCAGCTTTGGGCAAAAGAGCTCAGGACAGCACCCAGGCCCTGAATTCAAGACCCAGGACTGGGGAAGAAATAAAAGAGAGAACCCAAAGCTGAAAAGAACAGCAGAAAGGTTTCAGCAAGAACACAGGAACACTTGGTGGGTGATGCCCTCCTGTGCCCATGCCCAGTGGAGGGGACAGGGATGAGGAAAGGCGTGGGGGATGTGAGCACACGGCTTGCAGCACCCAGGCCAGCTCTGTGCACAGGAAGGAGACGCCACATGGCTTTACCTGAGTCACAGCTGCCATCCCTGCTCCTTGTCTTTCCTCCTCCTCCTCAGGTAATATCACTTTCCAGAAGTCAGTCTTGAGTGCTGAAAATATGCTGTTTAATGCTCACACCCAACATGCACTCCTTACGTTCCAGCCCTAGCCCAGGGAGGACCTCACCATGGGGAAGATGGGGTGGTGGGGAATGCCGGTCCTGGGGCTGGAACTCAGGACCTGGGCTCTGTGCCTGAGCTTGTTTCCTCAAGGCTGGTGCTCTACCACCTGAGGCATAGCTCCACTCTTGCTTTCTGTTGGTTAATTAGAAGAGTCTCAGGGAGGGTTGAAGAGCCAAAGTCACTGAATGAAAAAGCACCAAGTACACAGTTTGAGTCCCAGTCTGTGACCAAAAAACAAAACAAAAACAAAAAACAATCTTTCCTGTTCAGGCTGACGTCAAACCCCTCCAACCTCACATCTCAGCCTTCTGAGTGGCAAGGGTTACAACCATGAGCCCTGCTCCCTCTACTCTCCTTGTAACTAGAGACTCCTCTTTCCCATGGACCAAATGGCTCTGCCCAATTTCAAATTGTTCTCTCCTCCCTCCTGGAAGTGCTCTCTGGTTTCCTACACCCTGTTACCTATGTGATGTCTTGGATCTTTCTGGAGATGGAGATTCTGCCTTTCTCCATTTGCTTTCCTCTCTGCTCATGTCACTGAATCTTTGCAAAGATTACACCCCGTTACTACTTTGTCACCTGCTATTGGGGCTCTCTCTTCTCTTCCTGTTTTTCTGATTTTCTTTCAGTCTTTCTCCTGATGATCCATTGCCCTCACCTTCATACAGCCCCACCTACAGTTCAAGTGTAAGGAGGCAGGTCCCAGGTTCTCCTGTACCCCTCATCAGTGAGGGAAAGGATGGGGAGAGGTGGCAGTGCAGCACAGGGTAGCCTAGAGGGTGAGTTGGGGTAAGCTGAAGTGGGTAGGGGTGAGGTGAGTTGGGTATGGTTGAGGTGGGTTGAGGTTTGGTGAGGTGGGTAGGGGTGAGGTGAGGTGAGGTGAGTTGAGGTTGTTAGGACCTGCTTAGCCTAAAGGTCTTCATTTTGTGCAAACAGCCATTCTGTTGTTTATTCAGTAAACACAAGCTAACCCTGCCCTTAAAGGAACTGACTCAGCCTAGAGGAACTTACTTTGAAAAAGGAATGCAGGAAACCAGTAAGATTTGGTCAGCTAGTTCCTGAGAACAGAGAGCAGAAAACAGGGCTGTCAGACCAGTAGAGATGCCCAATCAGTGAAAAGCACATACGGAACCTCCCCATTTCTGACCAATAAAGATGAACTTCAGCTCCTGGCAGCTCTGCTCACGGTCAGCTTGTGGTGTGCGTTCTGCCCTATAAAAGCCACCAGTGAGATTGGGCAGGTGGCTCTCTCCACAGAACCAGCCCTGCCTGGTCCGTGCAGCTTTCCATGCTTGGTGAGAAATAAATCTCTAACTTTCCCTTTGTATCAGTCTGGTTTCTCTGATCAAGGACCCCGGTGAGGTGAGGACAGTAGGGGTGAGGTGAGGACAGCAGGGGTGAGGCGAGTTGGGTAGAGGTGAGTAGGGGTGAGGTGGGTAGGGGTGAGGTAAGGTGGGTAGAGGTGGGTAGGGGTGAGGTGTGGTGGATGTAGGTAGGGATGAAGTGAGGTCAGATGGGGTGGGGTGAGGTTCGGTGGGTAGGGGTGAGGAGGGTAGAGTCGGGGGACGGGTCCTGGCCGGTCCCCGCCATTGCACGAGCTTCCAGAAACCCCTAGAAGACCCCGGGGCGGGAGGAGCGGCGCCCGCTCGGGTTCCCCCGACCCCAGGTTCCGAGGTCCGCACTCGGCGCCGCCCGCAAAGCCGCGGAGCCCCGGTCACAGCGCCAACCCGCGTGGG